CCACCCACTGGATGGTCCCTAGCATGCCTCCCTCTCTGATCACAATGCTGAGAGGCATTACACTCTCTTTTTTAGCCCCATAAAACAGAAGCAGGTGAGTTATGGTTGGAATAAACACTCTTGTTATGGTTCTGCCAATAACAGTGTGTATACTGCCCTCTGCTGTTAGAAAATATACAACACACAGCAGGACACAATTGACCTCTATACACAAGCATTTAGAAGCAACTCTATATCATTAATAGATAATTTAAACACTTAGAAACAAAGATACACATATTGTACCACACCCAACCCCAATCCCCCATCTGCTTAGCAAATAGCCATGTAAATGAATATTTGTGAAGCCCAAATACAACACAGAAATCAAGGAATCGATGAAAAGTCCAACTAAAATATGTGACAAGCTCAAGGGGATATAACTCTGTTGGATATCAGTGGAGGCCTGTGTTCATGGTAGGAGGTACCCACCCAGAGGTTGACATTCACACCTTCTATAAATACCCACAGTCTGTTTTTATCCTCCACTGGCCTCTATGTGTTTATGATATTGAGCCATGTGGCCAAGTATTGGTGTGTCCTTGTCTCATTGACTTACACTTGTCTTTGTTCTCTCCTCTCTGTGTTGCTCCTCGCTGTCTACAGAAGAGCCAGAGCTGGTACAACGTAAGTTTCATCCTCTTACTCTTTTTGTTAAGAGGTGTGTGTGTGCGCGTGCTTGTGTGTTTGTGTGTGTGTGAGGTTACGAGGTGAAGGGTTCTAGACCCTGTTTAGAATCACATGAGGGTATATGCTTAAGGTCACTTTCATATGGAGCTCAGGCTTACCCAGGACGCTAACCAGTGGGATTTAGAGTTGTAAGAGTCTAGTGCTACAGTGTGACGGCATGCTGAATTAATAAGAAAAATGACTGATGTCCCAGATGAATCATGAATAAACCAAATGCTGTGAGGATTAATAAAAATGTCATGTTTTGCCACAAGAGGGTGTCCTCCACCATTTTGTTGCAAACTCCCATACCTTACTACTGATGTGATTCATAGATGAATGTTTGACAGACAGAAACTTCTTGTAGCGAAAGTATGGCGACAGCCCGAACCAGTGATATTGTGTCTCTCATTCCAACACCAAGACCATTACACCAAGAGGTCCTGGCTTAATACAAGGTTGCCGGGCCAGTGTACTAAGAGACAAGGTTGCTACATTTTAATGGGGCTGTAATTCATTCCTTTCGTTTTGATTCTTCTAAAACAGCCAAGTAAATTTACTTGATGGCTCAGTTGGCCATGTTTATGTGAGAAATGGTTTGATACCCTGGTATGGTGTTATTATAAAGCCATGGTTTCTCCTATGGTGTCTCTATGGGACTCCATTTTATTTTCCCTTGTTCTGTTGTTTTATTCCTTTCTTTTGTTGTTCTTTGTGTCTATATATTTCCCCTCTCTCCCCAGCATGAAAGACAACACATCCTGAGAGTAAGCATGACTTGTATGCTTGTGCAATTTTTCTAATATCTCTCTGCTTATTCCTTCTCCTTGGATCGCTTGGCTAGTCTCTCTTTCCACTAGTTTGTTCCTCATCCCTCATTGGTTTAATTGATCAGTACGTTGTTTCCACCTGAGAGCGAAGCCACAATATGGAGCACTATGGGGGTTAGATGACCCAATGCCATGGCCACATTGTGGTTGTGTTTAGAAAAATAGCATTTTCAAAATGGCTGCTGTATGAAGGGGGACTATAGGCTTCTCAGAGCTGTGATGGTGGTGACGCAATGGGTGTATTCATTAGTCGGAGGCCGTTGCAAAACGTTTGGTCTGCTGTGAAAATTTCAGCAACGGAAACTGTTTACTCCAAACGGGAAAAAATAAACGTTTTGCTACGAAAACTAGAGTTTCTATTAGACAAATTTAGGTATATCCCTCCCTGTTTCGTTCCGTTTGCTTCCTTTGGTTCCTAGAGTAAACGGTAAACCGTTTCCATTGCAAAACGTTTCGCAACGGTCTGCGACTAATGACCACACCCCAGGTGGTAATAAGTCTGCTCAGTGTATCATACTAAACCCACGGACCATGGTCAGTGTCTGGAGCAGCCCTGAATGCCTTGAATGACAAAATAATGGGGCATGGGACTGGTTAGCATGTTCCAATCCTCCCAAGTCTTCAAATGTGGTCATTTTGTCATTATGGCCTCATTGGGCATAGTTGGGCATTGTTGCATAGTAAAACTTGAACCATGCTTCTTCTTGTTGAGAAGAAGCATGGTCCACATCTAATGCTTTCTGATTCTCTCACTTCTAGCTACTTACCTTAATTTCTCTACTGTTCTACCATTACTAAAGGAATGCATCATAATACCAATCTAGACCTGATGTTGCTCCCAGAAACATTAACTATGTAATTATGCCTAATCTCTGTTCTGGACCATTGAAAAGTATATTGGTATGTGTCTGATGCAGTGCTATACCTGAGGGGATGGTAGGCTATGTGGTAGGCCATGTCACAGTTGCTGTGTTTCTCTACAAGGCAATGATGTTTTCCCATGGCACTGAATCTACTGTGATTACATCACAACCGTCCTGATATGAGGTCTGAGCCCAGTAGAGACACACAACAGGCCCCACCCTGCCATATCAACCTTCCTAATGACTCTGTGGCAATGCTTTCATGGCAACTGTACAGGACCTACGCAGGCAGTTGAGGTATTAACAAGGAAATCAATGTCTGCCAGACACCGAGTATAGTGGCGCATAGTATCGACAGTGACTAAAGTGGCAGGTTTAAGAGACTGCTTTTCTCAGAGTTTTGTGAGGTGAAATATCTGCCTCCACATACTCTCAGGTCTATAATGAAAACATTCTAGAGTTCATCCCCCCTGCATGAGAGAGAGAGAGGAGAGACAGCAGGAGAAGGTGAGCAAGAGATTTAGAGGGAGGCTGCCATGTTTACTCTGAGGTAGATTCTCACACAAAGGATACCACTGTAGAGCCTATCTCCTAACTCGCTCTTCATAAAACTTTACATGAAACCACACTGGTTCATTTTTACAATGTAGGGAGCAGGGGTGCTTGTTTGAAATGTCAAGAAAAGCAAGCAGTGTGTATGATGGTGAATAGTCAGAGATCCTGGCTTGGCTGTGTTTCTAAACCAGACAGCCCCTCTCTGCTGAGCTGTTCCCCCATCTGGTTCTAATCAACAGACCCTCCACCCTCCTACCGTCAACAGACCATTGGCAGGGAAGTGTCAAGGAAAGGTGTGTTTCAGATAGAGACGGAAGTCTTCACACATACACACACATTCATGCACACTCAATGGACAGTGCCGCTTACTTTGTTAATATAATGAAGATGGAAGTCCTCACACACATGCAATCAAATACACATAGGCATACACCTTCCTGGCCACTCCTCTCCAGAGTGGTTTTGTTGCAACCTACTGACAGTGGGGTGAGAGACTCATTGTTTGTGGGAAAAGATAGTAAACCGCTCCCTGAAACAAATGGGGCCCCACCCTGGTTGACTGTACCGGTCTCCGATATCTCTCACTGTTTACCAAGCAGGTTACTGGTTAACCGCCACCGCAGGGACTGTCTATATCCCCATCATCACCTGGCAGCTACACTGTCCTAGGACTTGTCACATTGTCACCTGGAGAAGAGGGGAGATAGTCGTATTAATAGCTTCTGCATTACTTTCTGCGTTGAATTCAGATACTACTCGGTTAGTTTTCGAAGAGAGTGCGCCCGGCTCGCAAACGTCTGATGAAACGCTATTCACCGGATGCAGAGGCATTTTCAACAGGGTGAAGGCTGTTCACGTCTGAGAGGGATCTGTGAATGATCAGCACTGTTTTCAACAGTGTGCTGAGGATTATTTTGATTCCCGTCACATTCAGTTTCCTGGAGATAATTTATTCTCACTGATTTGGCTAGATGTTAAGGGGGTTGTGGAAATTGAGTAAGCAGGAAAGGTGTGGAATTTGTGTCTGAATTCCAGGGCACAGATGTAACCAATCACAAGTGAGCCTAATGGAGTGCCAATTGTAGCCACATTGTTTGTATTGTTGCTGTTGTTGTTGGGGGTGTTTTATCGTTGTGTCCACCTCCCACCACTGTGCTGATAGGTTGATTTGCCCAGCTCAGAGTCAGACGAGAACCAATCTCTGTGCCTGTCTATCTAGTCTGGTTGTAGTGACTGACAGGGATCTGGTTTCAGGAGTGCATTACTGACCTTAAGGAACAGGAGAGTTGTGGGGGGTAGAGAGTAGGGAAGTAGGCCACAGGGATCCAGGGGGGGTTTAGTGATAGTAACACCTCTAAATGTGTTAACCCTCCTGTGCTATTGCTTTCTAATACCTGAATGGTCAACGACAACGACAGGGGAAGTGGACATACTCCCAGAGGTACACTACTCCAACTGCATTAGACTGAGCCGCAAGTCTTGGCATGCGACTCCATGCCGCACCACTCAAGATTAATGGACTTGTTTTTCTTCACGGAGCGTGGAGGTAACTGAAGGTTGTGTGCACATCTGTCAACTGTAACTCAATCACCTTGTCAGCCAGCGAGACGGGACTGCACTCTGTTTTTCTATTTACCAAGGATATTTTTCTTGCTTTCGCTGCTGGTGTGTTTGAGCTGTGCTCACAAAGGCGCTCTGAAGCGTCTGGATCTGGACAGCGTAACACTGCCTGCCTGCACACGCCTGCCTGCCAGAGCTGCCATTATCATAAAATACTAGAGGCCAACGGCCGAAGGAGAGAGGACTGGAATCATGTGGCAGCAGTCAGCTGGGTCCAGCTCTCACACTGAAAGGGAGTAATACCCACACCAGGTTCAGTCACAGCAGTCTCCAAGCCACAGCCACACACAACAGCTCTGTCTGTTTGTCTGCAGCAGACCTGGACCACTGGATCACCAGCCTTGAAATCGACCGTTCTGAGGACCCCACAGGGACACCACTGGTTTAGGTGTCCGTCCGTGTGCCTGAGGGAAGTGTGTGGAGTATGGAGGCTCACAGGGGACTGGCGTCGGACTGGGAGGCGGTGCTGGAGCTGGATGAAGATCTGGCTGGGTGGCTCCCACAGGATCCGACCCGGAATGAGTTTGGCTGGGAGTGGGGCTGGGCCGCCTCGGACCACCAAGACCAGGACTGGGAGTCAGAGGAGGTCCCTGCAGTAAGTTACTGCCCCCAGAGACCTGATGCCAGGAGGGGGAGTGGCGGGGAGGGAAGAGGGGGGAGAAGGTTGGGATGGGCGGTTTTTGTACTGTACCTGTGCCAAGAGCATAACTCTGTGGTTCCCTCCTGCAATAGCTATTTGCATTCCCATAGTATCCATGGACCCTTTCCCTTGACAAAGTAAGAAGGCTGCGGTTTAAGGGGCATAGACAGGCGTTTGTTGTGAAAGGGGGGCCCTAATACTCTTGATATTTTAGACAGTTATAGAGTACTTTCTGTGAACATTTCTAGACTGTAAAAATGTCTGACGCATAATACAAAATTCCAGCCTTCAAAGTTCTTGAATGTATAAAGTTTTCTTGACAGGCACCACTGGTTTTCATTCACAGCTTAACAGAAACAGTTAAGTATTTGTAACATAACATTATGTATTTCCATTCTGGTCTGTTCTTGTTATATGAGTATAGAACATGTAGCTATCTGATGTTAATGTGAACAGTCTGTTGTTTTCCTTCAGATTGAAGCAGCGAGAGGTTTTTCCCCTGAAGGGATGTCTTTGGTTACTGTATTGGCAGGCATTGTTTCCTGAAGCTGTTCCTACTCAAAGAAAGCATCTGGCTCAGACACATAGAGCACTCACCCCTGCACTCACACTCAGAAGGCGTCTGGCTGTGGGTCACAGCAATACTTCCCTCTTTAAGCAAGCCTGTCCTCTGAATCCAGGCCCAATATAAGATTTACCCAAATGCCTGAGAATGTAACAAGAAATAATGAATTCCTCTGTGTGAGAATTGAACATTTCTTCCCATGACCTAAACCAACAACCGATGCAGACTAGGTTTTATAAGATAAACAATAGATACATAAGGGTTTGCTAACAGAGCAGGTGTCTTTTTCTCCCTCTGTCCTACATATAAACTGTTGCTGTACAAAACCACCATTGTGTGTGTTCATACAGTACATTGATGTTACCAAAAATTGTTGTCTTGGGAATGTGACTCACATTAGGAATGCTCACGATGCTCAAAAGCATGCTTATTGAATTGAGTGGCTAAATGTCAACGGGGATCGTGCATGGTATCAAGTCTGAGTTAAACATCACTTGTGAAAATGGATGCAGTCCAGTGTGTGTATGTGAGAGAGAGAGTGTGTGTTCAGGAATGTGTATGTGTGAGTCGTCCCTCTCTAAAAGGTTACCAATGTTGCTCTCTGTCTCCAGGTGTTGAGCCCCACATACAAACAGCGTAATGAGGACTTCAGGAAGCTCTTCAAGCAGCTACCGGACACAGAGCGACTCATCGTGGGTGAGTTTCTAACGCAAAGTGCTAGGCCACTAAGGCCAATAAGGTCAGCAATATGGTGGATATAGGACATCAGCTTGGTTTTGGAAAAGTTAGCGTTGGCTGGTTGGAGTCAATTCCATTTAAACTATCCATTCAGGTAATTAATCTTCTGAATTGACTATATTGAAATAGAATTAACCCCGACCTTGATGGGTAGATGATGTATTCTTCCTGGGCTCTGATCATTGACCTGTGCTGGCAGATTACTCCTGCGCCCTGCAACGAGACATCCTCCTGCAGGGCCGACTCTACCTCTCTGAAAACTGGATCTGTTTTTATAGCAACATCTTCCGCTGGGAAACGCTGGTACGCACTGGTCCTCTGCCTGGGACTTTCTGTTCTTTTGATCTTATCTATATTTCCCTGGTGTTGGTTAGTTTGCAGAGTTGAAATAGAATGTATTGTATTTCTATGGTTTGCAGCACAGTAGATATTGTATTATTGTGGTTCAGTAACAGTTCAACAGATATATTCTTCTGAATATTAAGCACTACTGAAAAAAACCTATTTTGTTTCCATGTGTGTGCAGCTGACAGTGAGGCTGAAGGACATCTGCACCATGACGAAGGAGAAGACAGCACGCCTCATCCCCAACGCCATCCAGGTGTCCACAGACGGTGAGAAGGTAAGACAGGACAGGGACTGGATCTTTGGCATTCACTGACTGAGAGAAGGCTCAAACTTTCTCCTCAGCCTTATTTTAAAGCATATTTTTGAACTGATACAAACATTATTTTAATTCTCTCCTCACAGCACTTTTTCACCTCATTTGGAGCACGGGACAGGACCTACATGATGATGTTCAGATTATGGCAGAATGCACTTCTGGACAAAGTAAGCCAGCAACCTCAATTAACCTCATCACAAATAGATCTACATGTTTAGTATATTGAGTCTCCATACTGAGTGTTGTCTCTAACCCCTGTGCTCTAGCCCCTTTGCCCCAAAGAGCTATGGCACTTTGTCCATCAGTGTTATGGCAACGAGCTTGGCCTGACCAGTGACGACGAGGACTACGTTCCCCCTGACGACGACTTCAACACCATGGGGTGGGTGTGGTTTCCATGGCTACAAATATAAACACTGCCTCATCAATTACCATGGTTGATTAAGACGCCCTTGATCTGCTGTGCGTTGAAGCACACACACACAAACACACATACACACTCACACACAAACACTAACACACACCCCTCTCTGCCCTGCTTCACACCCCTCTCAGCCCTCTGACCATTACCATGTAAAAGCAACACTCCAGAACTCATAACACTAACCTCCAGCTGGTCCCTGTTCCCCCACGGTGGTGGTGCAGGTTCTGTGAGGAGATCCCTAATGAGGAGAATGAGATCAGTAATGACAACTTGTCAAAGAGCAGCACGGAGGCCAAGCACGAGGGCAGCCCACCATCCATACACAAGAAATGCATTATCACCAACAGCACCATCAACTCATCCATCAGCAGCAAGCCCCTCTCTGTGAGTCTCAGCGACATAATAGAGGTCAGAGGTTAAATCAATTACTGTTTTGTTATTTGTTTTGATGGAGGGGAAATGCATTTGTTATTCTGCCTATAGCCTGCATATGGGGAATACAGTTAACGCAACAGAATGTTTTGTAATTTGATCACCAGAACTGAATTAACACCAAAACATGAACACAGACCATCCTACTTATAACTATGTACTGTAGTATCCTACAGTGTCTTTCTAGTGACTGACCCCCTCCTCCTCCCCCTCTGTGTGTCCTAGTTTGACCTCCCTCCCGAGGAGTACATCGACTGCCTCCCTGACGGGGAGCTGCTGGCCTTGCCCCTGGTGCTGGAGCAGAGGTTAGCGGAGGCCAGCGGACTGGTGCCCTCGCCCTCCCTAGACTTCAATGACAATGAAGACATCCCCACTGAACTCAGTGACTCTTCAGAGACCCACGACGAAGGTACGGTTTCAATCTTCCGTCCATTAACAGATTTGATGCATATATACTGTATATGGCTTGAAACAGGCTCTTCTGTGATGCTGCCAAGTCTTGGTAATACTGTCACCATATGACATTATGTCCCCAAGGGCACATCATCTAAAGTGTGTTTCCCTTTAAGGCTCTCCAGCAGGGGAAGTGCAGGCCTTCCACGATGACCTTAAAGGGAGACAGTACATCGATGAGGTTTACAAGTTCAGTGTGGACAAGATGTACGACATCCTCTTCACAGAATCCCAGTTTATGACCGATTTCATGGAGCAGCGCAGGTTCTCTGGTCAGTCAGACATTCTGTCCATTGGCGTTAGCATTAGAATCACATTATTGGCTCTTCCATTGGTGTTGTCCTGTGACTATGTAGTGATAGAATGTGCATCCATATAATTCCACACAGATATAGTGTTTCACCCCTGGAAGAAGGACGATGCAGCGGGGAACCAGATGAGAGAGATCATGTACACCATCTCCCTGTCCAACCCGCTGGCCCCCAAGACAGCCACAGTCACAGAGACCCAGACACTGTACAAGGCCAGCCATGAGAGTGAGTGCTACATCATCGATGCTGAGGTCAACACACACGACGTGCCCTACCACGACTACTTCTACACACTCAACCGTTACATGCTGACACGGGTGGCCAAGAACAAGTGCCGGTTAAGGTGAGGAGGGCCTTATCATGACAGCTGTTGTAATAGTTTCAAGAGCCATATGTTATTCTATGTTCATTTAGAAACACTGCTTCAATTTATTACCTGCGTATGCCTTGTCCCTAGGGTGTCCACTGAGCTACGTTACAGAAAACAGCCATGGGGATTAGTGAAGGGCTTCATCGAGAAGAACTTCTGGAGCGGGCTAGACGAGAACTTCCGTCATCTTGGTAAGTTCCTCTACTAGCTGTCACACCAAATGTCCAGCAACATTTAATCTGATGACTGTAAACCATCCTAATGTATGAAAGTAAAAACTGCTTCTGTGTGGCCTGTCAGAGTTGGAGCTGTCGAAGGTGGAGGATGTGGTGTTGGAGTCAGCCCAGCCCTCTCCCAAGGTCAAGGTGGTGAAGACATCTGTGAGGCGGAGGAATAGACCCCTGGTCCACCTACGGAGCCAGCACCTGGACGACGCCCTCCTCAGCCCCGTCACCACGCCAACCGATGACGAGGTCATCCACCGCATCAAACATGTGGGCGTGACAGGTCAGATGGCAGGGGGACACTTTGTTTTAAAACCTTTAAAAACGTTTTAACACTTTTTTGTTATACTCTTATACACACTCTTATAAACTCTTATACACTGTACATTCTTATACACTTTCATACAGTACATACATTACATAAACTCTTAAACATTTCCACACATTATATTGTGTTAAATATATCTAGTTGACCTGGTCTGTGTTTGGTCCCCAGGTTCCACTCAGACCAGGCACATACCTGAGCACCTCCCTGGAGGCTTCGCCCTCTACAGCGTCTCCAAACTGCTGCTCATCATCAGCTTTGTGTGAGTACACTCTCTATCTCCCACACACTCGTACACACACACACATACAGTATACACACTCACTTTCAGATCCATCTTCATAATTTGTGTTTAATTTGTGGGTCATTTCAGTTCAACTCTCTTCGAAATCTTTAGTAGTTAGCAAAAATCTGATTCTGTGTTAAACATTTGTTTGTTTTTGTTAGTGTTCTGAATTTGATTCCTCTCTCCTCTATCCTTTCATTGCTTGCCATAGGATCTGTCTAAGGTACATCTGTCTAATGATAAACCACTTAGACCTGACTAGGAAACATACTCCTCCCGCATTGTAACTGGTTCATTAACCTTTTACTGCAGCAGGCTAAATAAGGATCACACAGAGTGTTTTTTGATAGTCTTAAACAAATGTACTTTGAAACAAAAGTATACACCTCACACACATGGTTATGGGCTTACAAAAAAGAAGACACCTGTACCATGTCAGATATAGAGTTGAAATGTATTCAATTTTGAGTTTGCATCCCAATATTACACTTTATATACACTACATGACCAAAGGTATGTGGACACCTGCTCATTGAACATCTTATTCCAAAATCATGGGCATTAATATGGATTTGGTCCCCATTTGCTGCTATAACAGCTTCCACTCTTCTGGGAAGGCTTTTCACTAGATGTTGGGACATTGCTGCGGGGACTTGCTTCCATTCAGCCACAAGAGCATTAGTGAGGTCGGGCACTGATGTTGGGCGATTAGGCCTGGCTCGCATTCGGCGTTCCAATTCATCCCAAAGGTGTTCGATGGGGTTGAGGTCAGGGCTCTCTCTGTACACGCCAGTCAAGTTCTTCCACACCGATCTCAACAAAGCATTTCTGTTTGGTCCTCGCTTTGTGCACGGGGGCATTGTCATGCTGAAACAGGAAAGGGCCTTCCCCAAACTGTTGCCACAAAGTTTGAAGCACAGAATCGTCTAGAATGTCATTGTATGCTGTAGCGTTAAGATTTCCCTTCACTGGAACTAAGGGGCCTAGCCCGAACCATGAAAACAGCCCCAGACCACTATTCCTCCTCCACCAAACTTTACAGCTGGCAGTATGCATTCGGGCAGGTAGTATTCTCATGGCATCCGCCAATCCCAGATTTGTCCATCCAAGTGTGGTTCATCACTCCAGAGAACGCGTTTCTACTGCTCCAGAGTCCAATGGAGGTGAGCTTTACACCACTCCAGCCGACGCTTGGCATTGCGCATGGTGATCTCAGGCTTGTGTGCGGCTGCTTGGCCATGGAAACCCATTTCATGAAGCTCCCGACTAACAGTTCTTGTGCTGACGTTGCTTCCAGAGGCAGTTTGGAACTCAGTAGTGAGTGTTGCAACTGAGCACTACGCACTTCAGCACTCAGCGGTCCCGTTCTGTGAGCTTGTGTGGCCTACCACTTTGCGGCTGAGCCATTGTGCTCCTAGACGTTTCCACCTTACAATAACAGCACTTACAGCTGACCGGGGCAGCTCTAGCAGGGCAGAAATGTTTCCGAACTGACTTGTTGGAAAGGTGGCATCCTATGACGGTGTCCACATACTTTTGTATATATAGTGTACATCACAGAAGACTGAAATATAACAAAACCGTTTGACATAGAAACAACGAATTTTCGCAGTCTAAAAAAAATAATATGCTAATTATTTATGAAATTATGAAAAATATGAATAACATTCCACCCATGAGGCCACTAGGTCATTTGACTGCAGGAAAAGGCTACTGAATATACAGACTAAGGCACCCCTGTAGCTTTCATTACTCATCTTCTTTCCTTTATCCCGTACATTCTTCTGTTTTCCTCTCCTCCCTCAGCCTGGTTTTGCTGGTGTTCCTCAACATGATGCTGTTCTATAAGCTGTGGATGCTGGAGTATTCTGTACAGCCTCTTACCACCTGGCAAGGGCTGCGGATACATGAAAGGTACGCTAACCACCCATAGGTTTTTAGCATTATTCCTATTGCCTACATAATACTAGAATTGATATGACTGTGTACTTAGTCAAATCCAGACTGCATATGCCTGTTTAGTTTCATCTGACAACCACATGGGCTTCAGCCTGTTTTCCCAACCACAAAACGCTTATGCTGCAGAATTGCCCCTGAACAATGCTTAGCTTGGAGTTGCTCTTGGCCATGGTATCTGGGTGTGTTTGACGGTATGTGTGTGCTTCTGTCTAGTAAACTGCCCCAGACGCAGATGGAGTGGGCCCAGCTCCTGGAGTCCCAACAGCGTTACCATAACGCTGAGCTGCAGAAGTGGAGAGAGATCATCAAATCCTCAGTGGTACTATTAGACCAGGTAGGGAACAGTAGTACTATTAGACCAGGTAGGGAACAGTGGTAGTATTAGACCAGGTAGGGAACAGTGGTAGTATTAGACCAGGTAGGGAACAGTGGTAGTATTAGACCAGGTAGGGAACAGTGGTAGTATTAGACCAGGTAGGGAACATTGGTAGTATTAGACCAGGTAGGGAACAGTGGTAGTATTAGACCAGGTAGGGAACAGTGGTACTATTAGACCAGGTAGGGAACAGTAGTACTATTAGACCAGGTAGGGAACAGTGGTAGTATTAGACCAGGTAGGGAACAGTGGTAGTATTAGACCAGGTAGGGAACAGTGGTAGTATTAGACCAGGTAGGGAACAGTGGTACTATCAGACCAGGTAGAGAACACAGAGGACAGATACATTAACAGGCATTAACACAAGGCCAAGTGTCAAATCCTCTAGGTTTTTGTGCAGGGTCTCAAAGTGTGAAACTATGATTATAGTTATTTGGGGTGTTTTAATTTGTTCTGTTTTCCTCTACAGATGAAATACTCTCTATTGAACCTTCAAAGGGGCATTGACTTAAGGGACTACAGCTCAGAAGCTGAGGAGAAAAGAAGCCGTTACCACTGACATACGATCTTAGGCCATGAGGGCATGGTGTGCAATATAGGAGTTGTTTGTGTATAAGTATGCAAACAAAACAAAGAGAGACAAGAGACCGACTGACAGCGAGGCGAGCTGGCCCCAGTGTGACAGGGACAGCCTGCCGGCTGACGACCCCCAACTCACAGAGGTCACGACCCCGCAGGTCAGACCATGGACAGGAAGTGCCCCTATCACAGACAGGAAATTAACAGTGGGGTTCCCACAGCACTGAGGCATCGTGGGAAGGCGACAGCCCCACTTACTTAGACGCCACTTCTGTCTCTTATTTTTCTGTCTTTTAATTTTGGAAGGACATCGTACTGTAAGCCATTGCCACATGGCAATTAACTCCTCTCGATGAGCGTCTGTCTGTGGTTCCATTCCTTTCTGTGACTGTCTAAAGATGAACAAAAGAGGAGAGATAGACAAGGAAAGGGGTCCTACAGTCTCTAGGCTTTTTACACTCCCTTGACTGTTCCAAACCGATCATCTCCTCAAGGTCCGCGCTGCAGTGTCCCTTTTATTAACCCCTCTGATATTGGCCACAGATCATGCTCTAAAGTAGCACGATCACCAGCAAAGATATATTATAGAGTATATATATGTATGTGGAAGCACATTTCCACTGAAATGTCTCTACTGCCTTGCTTTTCCCTGGGCTCAACAGTGCATCAGGGCTGGTTTCCCTAATCACATAGAGCTAGGCTGTATATGTATAATGATTGATTTAGGTGGAGGTCCTTCTCACAGTTACTCAATACAGAGAAATGTTAAGAGATTGCAGGATGTTATTGGAGATAGAGAGGATATGTAATGTGGCGCATCAAAACATCCATGCTTGATGGCAAATGGATCTCCTGTTAACAACAGGAATTTATGGAATTTAGAGTCTTCTTGAAGGTTTATGAATGAGCTTTATGTTATATTACCACTATTGTACTAGTTGGGAAATGCAGTTCATTGTCCATCAGACTTATCAACTCATCAGTTGTAGAACAGTATTTTGAACAATTTTTAAGAATGATAGCTAGCCTACATGTTTATCAATTTATGAATTAGTTAACTTGCTGTCACTGCTACTTTCAAAGTACGGCAACAATACAGAGCTTTAATTTATCAGTTACTGGCGACTTGTTTTATGCACAGTTCCATTATTTGTTGCACATTTATCAAAATGAGTTTGTACTGATCCGTAAGAGCCGAGAATGTAGTACAAATTGAGCAGTAGTCTTTTCTGTAGGAAAAGACAGCATGCAGACTAAGAAGTCATTGATACTTGAAAAAGGGATACTGCAGCAAGACAATTAGGGAGACCTGTGTTCTTACATAAGTGTTTTATTACTAAACTGTGACTATATCTCTTACAAAATGTTTGAAGATGGAAATAATTATATAAATATATTTGAAATATATGTATATTTCAATATTTAGTATATATTTCAAGATATATACACATTGCATATATTTATTGTTTATTTATGTATAAAGGAAAGTTATCAGAGCTCTAGACGGGTTCAAGAATTTATAAAGAAAAGTGTTTTCTTCAGAAAACCATGCCAGATATGTCTGTGACATGTCTAGTGTGCATGTGTGCTTGAGTGTACTGTATGTTTCTGTGTGCGCGTGTGTGTGCACGTGTGTTAATTTGTAGTGTGATATTTCTATCATTCCACACTTGGATGTGTCTCAACATTTCATGATGTACATGATGTAGCCAAACTGCCTTTTATAATGCCCATGCGTTTGGATGCAGCCTTGCATTAGCCTCTCTGGCTAACAGTTTACAATCAGCCCCATATGGGCATCTTTGTGTCCATGCCAAGTGGCTTGACCCAACCACACACACCCTCTTTGCTTATCCCTATCAACAATCTGCGTCCCCACTTATTCCAAATCATACACACACCTCCACTCTCCGTGTTTGTGTTGGAATCTGTACACAATTCATTCAATTGAACCAAAACAGAGGGTAGATAAAGCCTTCATAAGATGGCATTCATTTTCAACTAGCAACTTATCATTTATTTTTTTAAAGACAGGTAAATACCTGCTGGATTAACCTCAGTTAGGAAATGTCTGAAGAAGTTCTAACCCCTAGCTGCGGAAAGAGCTCAGTGATAAAAGCACTTCCAAAAGAGAAACAGTACTGCACTTTATGGACCTTCCAAATAGTGAATGAAAGAAACTCAGTGGTATTTCAGCCCTTATGTTATAGTGAAAAGGAAGCCCTTTTTGCATTCTAAAAAGTATTACTTGTATCCAACATAGAATTCTTACTCTGTATCTTTGATTGAAATTAAATTTCTCAAGCATCCATTCAACACATTTCTATTCACTTGATGATGTAATTATGTGACATTGTCATTTGCATTTTGCAATGTTAGTACCAAAAGAGCAATTCCAGCCAGCTTTGTGTTACTCTCTTAGATATTTCTGGGTTAGACAGGACAGGAGTTAGCTGTATGTGGACTGCGGAGGAGTGGGTATCTATCTCTTTAATGCAGGGATGTCAAACAAATTTTGCCCCGGGGGCCGCATTCGGTCTTCAACGAGGTCCGGATGGCCGCTTTGAAAATTGGTTATATTTCCTTGCCGTCAAAATTGGCAAAATAATTGGTCCTCTATCTATTGTTTTTATCATTTTTGATGCTCCCTGACTGTCTAGCTTTCCTTTCTGTGATTATTAGCGAGCTGGACACGGTCATGAAACTGTATGAATGTATGTCCATTATATCATTTCTACACAGTTTCGATTTGGTTTTAGTAATTTTAAAGTATATTGAGTTTGTTTGAGTATGTTTGACACCCCTGCTTTAACGTGTGCTGGCGTTGCATTGGTGAGTTACTGAATAAGTGAGCGCTCGTGGACAGACTATAACGCAAGATTCTAGTTATGGGTTTCCGAGATTAGTGAATGAGTTATCCTGAAAGCATGTTTTAGGCTTGGCTCTCCTGCGGCGTGTCATGTGATGACTTTTGATACGGCAAGGTGTATTATTGTTAATTTATGGAAATCTTAACATCTGAATCACAGTGCTTGGAAATTGTTCTGTTTTATAGAAATCACTTTCACAATCAAGCTATATTATACTGAAAGATATGCTGAGTTTTTTTTTTTATGTCATTATATTTCATATGTGAAAATGTGATTTGAAATGCTTTGTATATTTTTAAAGTGTATGGACTTTTTCAGTTAGAAAATTGCTTGGATTTCTATATTTATTTTAGTAATTAAAATTGACAATTTCAAATAATCTGAAAGAAGCATGGTAACATACCATGGGTTTATCATGTTAGCAACTATAATGTCAATAAGATTGGTGTATTAACTGTCATTCATTCCAACTGTTAACTTAAAGTCATCTCATTCTGCAATTCATGGCAATACCACAAAACATTACAACTAGTTTCTAAGTATGTAATTAGCTTTTATGCAGAATTATGTGTTATGTGTCATATGAGTAAACATCTTATGCTCGTGCTTATGAACTAGTTATAAGGGTATGGTTTATGTTTGTTTACGCAACAAGCATTATACCATATTGTAACAATAATCATAGACTTTATGGATGATAGCTCAAGATGACCTCAAGTTATTAGTTTTTTCATCTATATTACAGTGACCTGTCATAGAAAACACTGGATATTTAGTCACATTATTCAGCATTCCACTCAATCACCATTACTATCAAAAAAATATAACCCATGACCTCTCATAGATCTGTTTTGTTTGTTTGTTTGTTTGTTTTTTTGTGCGCTCACAATTTTGTTTGCATTACCAAGTATGATAGTATGATTGCTATTCTTGCTCTAAAGCTGTGTAACCAAGGCTCCAGATGTCTTGACAGTGCCATTCTGTTGTCATCAACACTGCATACATTGTGTGCTTCACTGACTAAATTCATTGAAATTTGCCTTGCTGTTACAATTAGAGCAGTAGCACTCCCGCTCCTACTGAAATCTCTGGCTAACGCACAACCTCTTTCTTAAAAATGAATACACAACAAATTCATAGCAACGTTCTACAAGTGTGTCTTGGCATTATCTTACTGGTTTAGCTCAGTTCAAAAATAAACCTAATGTATGTTTTTTAGTCCTGTTTTGATCTGTAGAATGAATCTTAATTAGATTTATACATGGTATATATATACTGTAAGTATACGTTGTGTATATCTACAGTGTACACACACTGACAAGCTAATCAAATCTGCGCTGTGCGTAGGGTTTGACTTGCTGATGACTTTGCCTAATAGAAACTAAGATAAAGTGGCTTTCTGGTAGATGTGAAGTAGAGATGGGAACTATGAATAAAAAGGTATTGAACAAAAACATTCAAGATTTGTGAAGTTTACTCTTTTAAAATATGTTTTCCTCTTGATGAAGCCTACAAGAACTACATCATCTTCAACTGGACATGCAAGGCAAAGAGGGGACCATTGGTGAGTGAAACCTACAGTAGTTTAGGATTCTATCTTGATGAACAAGCATCAAGTCAGTTCGGAAAAATGTCTGCCCTGCTAGCGCTGCCCCAGTCAACTGTAAGTGCTGTTATTGTGAAGTGTAAACATCTAGGAGCAACCATGGCTCAGCCGCAAAGTGGTAGGCCACACAAGCTCACAGAATGGGACCTCCGAGTGCTGAAGCGCGTAGCGTGTAAACACGTCTGTCCTCGGTTGCAACACTCACTACTGAGTTCCAAACTGCCTCTGGAAGCAACATCAGCACAAGAACTGTTGGTCGGGAGCTTCATGAAATGGGATTCCATGGCCGAGCAGCCGCACACAAGCCTAAGATCACCATGCGCAATGCCAAGCGTCGGCTGGAGTGGTGTAAAGCTCGCCTCCATTGGACTCTGGAACAGTGGAAACGCATTCTCTGGAGTGATGAATCTGGGTTTGTCTGATGCCAGGAGAACGCTACCTGTCCCAATGCATATCAAATCAAATCAAATTGTATTTGTCACATACACGTGTTTAGCAATCTATTTTGTGAAGTGCACCAGTCCCTCCTGCAGCAAAGCACCCACACAGCTACAGATGCTGCCACCCCCGTCCATCACGGTTGGGATGGTGATCTTCGGCGTGAAGATCCCCGTTTTCCTCCAAACATAACGATGGTCATTATGGCCAAACAGTTATATTTTTATTTCATCAGACCAGAGGACATTTCTCCAAAAAGTATGATCTTTGTCCCCATGTGCAGTTGCAAACCATAGTCTGGCTTTTTTATGGTGGTTTTGGAGCAGTGGCTTCTTCCTTGCTGAGCGGCCTTTCAGGTTATGTTGATATAGGACTCGTTTTACTGTGGATATCGATACTTTTGTACCTGTTTCCTCCAGCATCTTCACAAGGTCCTTTGCTGTTGTTCTGGGATTGATTTGCACTTTTCGCACCAAAGTAGGTTCATCTCTAGGAAACAGAACGCGTCTCCTTCCTGAGCGGTATGACGGCTGCGTGGTCCCATGGTGTTTATACTTGCTTACTGTTGTTTGTACAGATGAACGTGGTACCTTCAGGCGTTTAGAAATTGCTCCCAAGGATGAACCAGACTTGTGGAGGTCTACAACAGTGAATTATAAGTGAAATAATCTGTCTGTAAACAATTGTTGGAAAAATGACTTGTGTCATGCATAAAGTTGATGTCCTAACCGACTTGCCAAAACTATAGTTTGTTAACAAGACATTTGTGGAGTGGTTGAAAAACGAGTTTTAATGACTCCAACCTAAGTGTATGTAAACTTCCGACTTCAACTGTACATATAATATATGGACAAGCAATGACAGAGCTGCATGGACTAAGATACAGTCGAATATTATAGAATACAGTATATACAGTGAGGGGGGAAAAGTATTTGATCCCCTGCTGATTTTGTACGTTTGCCCACTGACAAAGACATGATCAGTCTATAATTTTAATGATAGG